TACCCCATTAGTTTTTAACAGTGTTTATCACTGCAAGTGGAAGCCAATTAGGACATACTCTTAACCAATGAGCCATCTCTCTATGCTTCTACAATTTCCTAAATAATTATTTTCCATATGTTCATAGACGACTGTATAGGAAACTGTCCCAATTATCACAAAAGAGAAATGTACACTTTAGAAAATGAACATAAAAATGTGACAGTGCATTAGAGAATTTATATTGTTTGATGAATTTCACAGGAGACTTGAGAGTAAAAATTTTACAGGTAACAAAGTTGATGCTTATCTATAAGACAGAGGAAGATCATGCAATGTGAGATTTTTCTAAAGAATCACTTTTACAGTACCAGAGAAAAACACATGAGAGTTAAATTTATTTCCATGTATATGAGGTGCCTTTGGTGTTGTGTGTTTTAGTTCTCTAGGAAGGATATTTCATTGTATTGTTAACCTAATTACAGAAGACTGGATATATGGAACACCCACAGTAAGATGATACATTATGCCAGGCGTTGGTGGCGCACACCTTTAATCCCAGCACTTAGGAGGCAGAGGCAGGCGGATCTCTGTGAGTTCTAGGCCAGCCTGGTCTCCAGAGCGAGTGCCAGGATAGACTCCAAAGCTACACAGAGAAACCCTGTTTCGAAAAACCAAAAAAACAAAAAACAAAAAACAAAAAAAAACAAACAAAAAAAGATGATACATTACAGTGAAAATTATGCCTTTGAGAAAAAATTTACATATGTCAGATAATTTCTTTAAACATTGATTTGTACCATTCTTTTTTTCTGTATTTTTTGATTCTAAGTCTTAATAAGTGCAATGATCTTTAAATTTGACTCAAGTTATATGTCATATCAAAGGTAGAGAACCTGAGAGAAGTAACCGTGAGATATTAGGTTGTGGAAAAATTCTAATGATAGACAGCCAGGAAAAACAATACTTTTTAAGGCAAAGCAAGTACTTTCAATATTTTTAGCAGTTTAGCATCCTTGCCATATGCATCTTTTCTCAAATTTGGAAAGGAAACCACTGCAAATGGCAGTTTGCATAAACACTGCTGCTTTAATTCTCCTTTAGACACCTGGAAATCCATCTGTCTTTTCCCTGTTGCCTGGTGATATTTTAAAAGGTGACTTGTGGTACTTTGTGCAGCACTCTCTTGCACGTAGAACATGAAGTGTGCATTTCAGTGTGTTCAGAGTGATCTCTGCAAAATGTATCTTAACTACACGTTTGATAGATACTCTGAAGAAAAGCTTACAATCAGAAAAAGAAATGTGTACTTTTGGTGGGTGATGTACTTGATGACTACAAAGGTTCCCTTAAACATATATATTGAAGGTAGGGAAGGAATGTTTTGTGTGCAGACAAAATGTTTTGTGTGCAGGCTCTAAGGCAGGTACTTTACAGGGCCAGAGTGAGAACAGTGTAAATACATCAAGAGTAAGGATATGATGAAACAATTAAAAATTAGAGTTTCCCAAAACAATACAAACACTATACATTTAAAGGAAACTGGTGATTGGTGAATGAAATAATTATTGGAATTTTGTAGATAATTCATTGAAGAGGCAGTTTATTTTACATTCTAGGATATCAGTTCATTAATCTCTGTTTATGTTGCTGTGTGTGTTTTAGTCATATTCCAGATCAACTTTAATTCAACACAAAGAATGTAAACTTTCATTAAATTAATAGTATATAGCAGTGCATTTCCCAAAATCAATTTTTTAAATTTAATTCTCTCTAATCCTACATATTTGATTGGAAGTCTGGTTTGTTGTGTTTGCTTATTTCTTTGGATAATTAGAAGTTAGGTGACTGTGACCTGTCTGTTCCTGAGAGATTTGTAAGTCACTGAGATGATTTCTCAGCTTTCAGTAGAGATGTCACTGGGGTGTTGCCTGTAGACTGTCTTTGCAGTGACCAATTTCAGGTGTACAGAACTGAACAGCTCTTGTGACAGGAAGGTAGTCAATGCTTGGTGGTTGACAAACCTTGCATTTCATGGCTTATGTTAGATTTGGTACCTGAGTGTTTTTTTTAATGATTTGGAAAGGAGAGTTTGTCACTATTAAAATGGTATTCCATTTACAAAAAGAGGAAAATTGTGAAAATACTCATATTTTTCTCCACGGCAAGGAAAATCTTCTAATGCTTCTATCCTTTGTGTCAAGAAATATATTTTCCATTAAACTTGTTTGTCATATATTAGAAAGTTTAGTAAAACTAAATTCTTATTTCAGAAGGAGTTTGAGTGCCAAATGTATAAAGCCAATTCACTACAGTAGACTGAAGTTAAATGTTTTCAATAATATTTCATACTCTCAAATCCTCTGGTCTTTGAGAATACTGTTATTACAACATTTATTATTTCTGCTGTTATTTTTATGGGAACTCATTTATTTTAGTTATTAATCAAAACATATATAAATCTCAATTTAGTCTTACATAAATGTAACTACAATTTAAATTTAAATTATAAAGATTCTCTTAGCCATTTTGGTATCAGGGAATGTGTGGCTACTATCATACAATCCACTCACGATCACAAAAGCACTGGAGCTTCCACACTTGCCAGCTAGACAGAGCATGGGAGAATGTTTTATGTTTTTCTCAATGTTAGAATATTTTCCATTGAATATGCTTAGACACTTGGGTCCTTTAGGTATAATAATGTTCATTTTTTTTAAAGTTAATATTTGCAACTCTAATTATGCTACCAACTGTTGTTAAATATAAGCCATGGGCTCCAACAAGTCAGAAAACTAATGGTTGTAATCATAAGCATATGGACTGGTGTGAGATGTACTCCTGAGGACCAGGACAGCTCAGCAGCCTATTGCTAACAGTCCCAATCCAATTTGTATTCATTGTCCTTTTATAGTAGGTCTTCTTCTTTTTGCACAAGTAAAATATCCCTGATCTCTCATTTGTAATTATTAATTGGAATCAACTAGTAAGAAGTGCAAATCTGAGGATAGCTTCCTGAGTCAATGATTGCATTCAGTTGTCACAACTTCAGCCACTATCACTTGTCTGGGATTGTGGATTTTCACAACTGAGAAAAAAAATGCTAGCATTCTCTCTTCTAATTGATGAAGTATAAAACTCATGGATAATTTTATCTTCTCTGTGTAATTCTGTATTTGGCTCATGTTAGATACTTGACAGTTGCAGAGATCTGCAGTTTTCACACACACACACACACACATACACACACACACACACACACCTATGAGAACCATCCATATCTATCTATCTATCTTTCTATCTATCTATCTGTCTGTCTGTCTGTCTAACTATCTGTTCTGGATTGCATGACAAAAGCACTAGCAACATAAGTTGGGAATATACAAAGGGCTGCCCTGATTCTTGCTATTAAATTCAGGCAAAGATAAAAAAGTAATATTTTCTCAATTATTTTACAAAAGTCAGATTACTTAGAGAAAAATAATTTAAATTCTATTATATGATTTTGTATAACAATTGCCTACTTATATTCATAAGTATAAATTGCAAATATCATCTAAAGTGAGAAAATAGTTATTGCTATTATAATTCTGTATCTGTAATTGAACCACACTTAGTATGAATTACATATTTGGTATCATCCCATGCTGATCTTTCAAGTGAATCAGAATATCCAAATTTGAACAAGTAGGGAGTATGTGTAGCTGCATCTTCATTATTTGTCTGAGGAAGCTGAGGTAGTAGTAAGTAGCTTTGGATTTAGAGCTATGTGTAAGATTTTTCAGATAACAACAAAGAGCACATGTATGTAAACATAACTAATACTTTCATGGTTCTTAAGTCTCTGAGAGTCTGTAATGAGTGTTTATTTTGTCACTAGACTGTCATCTACCCCTGTGAAAATATCAACTACCAATTTAGAAAACACAATTTTTCATGCAAGCTCTGTGTGATTCTTTCCCCCTTGCCCTCCCAGGTTCTACAGGTAGGGCCCCATAAACTAGACTGAGGGAAGATGGATTAACTGTAGGAGCATGAGGAACTTGTTAACAGGTGCAGCGACACCCACAGGTAGCACTCAGTGGAGTGAGGAGTGACTTAAAAGACAGTTAGTGTTGAAATTATTCCACATCTTAATCAAAAAGGGTAAATTATTCAGCATTAACAAGAAAAAGAGGATTACTGAGGTTTTAGGATATTAAATTATGAGATGGAAATAAATGAGGAAATAAATGAAGTCAAGCCCTGCTTAGCATTACTTGTTGGAGTTCTCTGCTATATCTCAGGACTGGGACATGGAGAATTGTCTTCAGAAGTCAGCATCCATCTCTCTGGTAGAGAAAGGAAGAGGGACCTTTTGAAACCTGGGTCTGATTTTAGGCTGTGTAACAGAGGTGGAGGCAGTGTGGAGCAGGGGACTTTTCTTGAATATTCCTTTTGTCAGTTGCCTTCAGGTAAAAATGGGCCACATGCTAGACTGACAGTTTTTCAGGCATGACATAGTTTTCTTCCTTTCCATGCTAATGCCACTGTGGAATTACACATTTTCCATTCATGCCACTGTTTTAACATAAAATCCTAGGTATGCTGCCTTTCTAAGTAAAATTGTTTTTGGTTGATTTAGCAATTTAAATCAATAGCTATTAAACTAATTTCTTCTAATTTGCCTTTGAATATTTTCATTCAAGTTAATGTAAGCATGTCATCAGAAAATTTAGATTTGAAATGTATCTTCTAGTGGTTTTATTGTCTCAACATTTATAAGTGGTTTAAATAAGTACCATGCATAAATGAAATACTGATTGAGGAAGTATAGTCTAAAACTGTAATTGTCATTGAATTTTGTCACTAAATATGCAATTCATAATTTCTGCTGACGGTCTGAGTATTTAAAACACTAATATGAGAAAAATGACAAAGTTCCCAGGAAGTATTGGGTGTCATATTAACATTGATTGACATGGGAGGAAATGCGGCTGTAAGCATACCTTATTGCAATTTTTTATCTTGTTTTTTGTTAGGAGTCTTTCCCTGAAAATTACAAAAGACATTGATCAAGAAGCCCGGTGTTCCCATGTTAGCCGAATGCCCAGCAGTCCCTCTGCAGATTGGCCCCTGCTGGGAGTGGAGGAAAATGGAGGTATAGATTCTCTGCCTTTCAGACTGATGCTACAGGAGTGCACGGCAGTGAAGACACTGTTACTGAAGATGAAGAGAGTGCTTCAAGAGGTAGGGCAGTTCTGCAGTTATCGCTTGTCCATGCTGGTCTGAAATGTAGACGTATTATGCCCTGCTCAGTCACCAGTGTCTGGCATTGAGCATAGGTCCTGAGCCTTAGCTTTCCTCGTGTGCCAGAAGAATAGCTTCAAGTTCTGGTGTACAAATAGGTATTCAGAAATTATCCAGATCCTATGAAAAAGGAAGGTGAGGCCAAACCCTCCCTAATCTGGCAGGCAAGGAGAAGCAGGCATCAGCTATGCAGTAATCCATTTATGTCACTGTCAAGAGTCTGAGAAATCTGCTGTGTTTTCTTTGCCTTGATTTTATGAATTATCTAAATGGTATTAGAAAGACAGAGTTTTGAAAGTGATTTTGTTGTGGTCATAATCATCCCAATATACTGCAGTCTGCAGGTGTTAATGAAATGTCTAGTGAATGTGTTTGCCCTCTGACAGTCTCTGATGAATGTTTTCACACCTACTGCTTTTATGTGATGAATGTGTCCTGAAACAGTGTCACTATGTCTTCCTCACTTATATTAATCAGTCATATGGGAGTATCTATGTCTCAGAAACTGAAAAAACACTATATTGCTACTGTCATAAAGCTCCTAATAAAGTCTCAATTATCTTATGTGGAAGTACCACCCTTTTGTAGTGCTTTTAGCACAATGTCTAATTACCAGATGGGCAGCAGGGGAAAGCTTCTGTAAGGAACTGTGTCAGGGGTCACACGGGTCATATTAGGGATAAGTCAGGCATCTGGGCATAGGGACAGTCTCCAAATAAGGATACTCCAGCTGAGTATATCATGAAAGCCAGCTTAGATTCATGACTGTCTCCTTTCACTTCCCCAGTGCTAGGATGATGAGTTTGTATGTGCCTCCATGCTTGGGTGAGGTACAGATATTTTAATTACTGTTTTCAGTAATTGCTATTTTATAGCATTTATCACAAAAATGTTCCCAGTTTATCAGTTTCCTGCTTCTCCCTATGAAAACTGTTAGATTGGGATTGTTGGGCATGAAGTGGAAACAGAAGAGAGCTAACAGCATCTCCAGAAGCAGAATTGTTCTTTAATCAGAACAACTGAAGGGTCACAGTCCCTGCAGAAGTGAGACTCTAGCACATTAGATGGGGAAAGGGGAAGATTGGGTATGGAAAGGGTGCATCTGGAAGTCAGTTCTTCTGTAATAGAAGGGCTAGACACCAGAGAAATTGCCATGTGGATCTGATCAGAGCTCCCACAGATGTCAGTCAAGTTAACTTTTGGGTCCAGAGCTTCACTGAGGCCTTTACGGCATTAATAACTATATGACCCCTCCTTAAAACATCATCAGTATAAACTAATTTCTAGAGGCATAAGACACAATCAGAAATTAGTCTGGGTTTTAACCTAATGAAAATAAATGAACAAATTGAATTATGTATCTTAATTAAGTTTTACTTTTATAATCCTTTTTCTGTTGGTCCACTTGAAATGTGTCTGTTCCTTAGTGGAAATAATACACACTAGTGACATTTTCATACTTGGGTAAGTAAATGCTGAATTTATTTTCCTTATGACCAAATCATACATACTTCCTTCATTGGGGAGAGTACCCGTGTGAAGGATTAGGGAAGGTTCAGAAACAAGTCCACAGATGGTTTTGGCCAAATAATTCAAGATGACCTGACACTTACATGCAGTGTGGGGATAGCTGCTAGGAAATCCAGAGCCAAAAGGTTGTTTCCCAAGTGTCTAGAGTTCATTACCACTGTGGGACATGAGGAGGACTTTCCATGGTAAGTTCCCTCAGCATTAGAAATATGTGATCGTCCGAGTTACCTTGTCATAGAGTCAACATTCCCTGTACCATTTGAATGAATATGAACACTATTCTTTGGCTCCAATAGTGATACTTTAAAATTTTAATATTAACTTTTTATATCATTATCATTTTTATCTTATTTTACATATGTGAGTGCTTTGTCTACAAGTTTGTGTGTATGCTAAATGTGTATCTCTTGCCAGTGGTCAGAAGAGTGCATCAGATCTTCTGAAAATGGAATTAATGATGCTGTAGAATTAATAATAATGTGGGTGCTGGGAACCAAACTCATTTTTTCAGGAAGAGTAACAAACATTCAGAATCACCGAGCCATCTCCGCAGCCCTATAATTTACTTTTTACTTACATGTTTTACCCCAAATCATATTTTTTAAAATATTTCATTTGCAAATTGCATTGAACAATATCAGTTAAGTGCTAAATCCTACTAGCACATTGGTGATTTCTTTCATTTGTTTTGTCTTTAATGGGCATTTGTTATTCCATCTCTTTGGGTTTAATAAAATGTTGATCACATTATATATTTTGGCAATTAGTAATTCTTAACACATTTTAACCATATAATAGTGAACTGATCTAGCTTTGTGAATCATGTTTGTTATGCTAGACTATCACATGGAATTTCAATTGAAATGCATTTCTTAAAGTGAGCACAGCAGTGAAATTAGATACAACCCTGTGTTGCTGGTGATTGACCTCCTGGTGGGAGCAGCTATGTATGTGAGCAATGGCTATGGCTCTAGGCTGGAGTCAGTTTCAGAAATCCCAGTGTTGAGTACAGGGCTGCAGAAACTAAGGCTTTCCCACATTCTTTTCTGTGCGTCCTGGAATACAGGCACTAGGTTAGGATATTCTCTTAAAGATGTTGCAGTAAATACAGCTGACCCCTTCCTCTACCTGAGGACTCTTCCTGAATACTTGGAATTTAGCCTGTTTTTTTTTTTTTTTTTTCAGTTGTTCTGACATGAGGGATGGCCCAGGTTCTCATTGTAATCATATTTGGCTTTCTGACTTGTGAGCTTCCCACTTATCATCCAGTTTGTTATTGGAGTCGGAAAAAAAATAATGAATGTTATTGTTTCCTCTTTTGGGACACTGAGCATTTTCTAAACACCCTTAGATGTACACTGCGGGTTACCAACGTGCACATCTTAGGATTTTATGTGACTGATCCTGCAATTGCTAATTCTTTATCTCCAATGATACTTCAAGTAAAAGTCATGAATGAGTTGAGCTTGCTATCTTATCCTAGTGTCTGTTCAAACTATAATACATGTACTGCTTAAGAAATAAATTAAAGGAAAATATATATCATTTGACTTCTAGTCAGCCATTGGATTCCTGCTAATGGAGTAAAACTGGCAAATGTGAGTGCCAAGTGAAACTCAGAAAGGACGACTACTGCTGTCTCTCCCCTGCCAAGAAGAGTAGAATGTGACTTTCTCAGCATACAGAATAGAGTCACATAGCAACCATTACCAAGTTTAATTTGATCATGCCCCTCATACATGCTAAGGACTATAGACTGAACTCATAATCTCCCAAAGCTTTTCACATCATCTTATGGAAGAAAATATGCTCTGGGATTCATTAATTATTATTTCAAAAATTGTCTCCTAAATCCTGAAGATTAGAAGAAAATCCTATAGGCTTAGTGGATGAGAACTTTGTTTTTCTCCATGTATCCTTATGCCTTTGGAATATAGATGTTATTTTACAAAGCATCATTTTACACTTAGCAGGACAGAATAAATATAAATAAATCATTATGAAACTTCACATCACTAAGTATAAGAGTTCTTACACATCATGTGTAGTCCTTTTCTTACTTGGTCAGCTAGATAAGCCTACTATTTTGGTAGTGGTGTTCTGTTGACATCTAAGCTTTGAATTCTGACATGAGCTGAACATGGAGAAACCAAATACATGTCACACTCCTAAATCTGGACTCCTTTAAAGTTCCCTTACTCAGTGCTTCAATTTTTTTCAAGTTCCAAATATAAACTGTTCTATTAAAAATTTTTAGTAACTTTAGGGCTTTGGAAATTCTATTTTTTTCTTATTCTCTTTTTTCAAGGTTAGTTATAGAAGAATGAACTAGAACAAAGAAGAGCTGTTAAAATTTTTAAGCTATTTATTTTTCTAGTAACTTCATTATTATATTAAAAAACTACATGATTCAGAGACAGAGTTTGTTTAATGTTCCCATCATTTTTTCTTCTATTTTCTCAAATAAGTTTTCTACTATATGGTAACAGACTGAGAAGGACACTAGAAGGAAACTTCAAATACCAATGAGAAATTGATATCCTAGGAAGATGACAGGTGTTTGAAATGGACTCAGGGGCCCTGCAATCTGTTTGTCCTTTTTTCCAATGTGGCTGAATTGAATAACTCTCCATTTTCTACTTTGTATTGTCAATCTGTCTCTTTTAACTGGCTTATTAAGGGCGATTGCCCCCAAATCAAATGTCAGACTTTCCAGAATCCCCCAGAAAAAAAAACTATATTCTAATTTTTCTTCATCACCAAATAGAGGTAAGAAGCAGCTGGTGCATGCTGAAGAGGAAAGACAGGAAAATGGCCCTGTAAAAAAGTTTCTCCACATATCTCTGGGATTTTTCAATCTTTCCCGTCCATCTCAGGAAGCTTTCTTTGAACCTTACATGTATCCTTCATCCTTTCTGGGTCAACAAGATTGTTACTGAATTTATAGTTGGGGTACAGGATTTACCCCAACAACCTTGAGATTCCCTAGGAACCTTCTATTGGGAGCAGAAAAGCCTGAAGCTCTAGTGGTTCACTGGAGGAGGACTGTGTCTTCTGGATAAAGATTTACACATCAGGAGAGATGGAGCTGAGATGGATGGGCAGGGACCGTGTGTTTCGTGATGCACATCTTTTGTCTTGTATTTAAACACTACCTTGATGTTCCATCCCTGGAGAAGAACTCAAGAAGTCCTTGGATCTATCTGACACTCCATTCAGTGGAGCCACATTGACTAACTTCTTTCAACCTACTTTCCACTACTGAAAACAGTAACAACAACAAAACATAATTGGATGACAGTAAAAATGACACTAAAAAGATTCAATTTTGATTCTAACTTCTTGTCTCAGTCCCACACTTTTTAAATTTTCAATTGACAATTAGGCAATGTGAATGTAACTCAAGTATATCTTGAGCCAGACAGCAATTCAAACAATGTCATGTAAATGTA